GTAGGCGCTGCCTGTGCAAGGCGTGAAGAATGTTCCTCAAAGGAAACGACCAGGAATGTTGTATGTACCTGAATTAACAAAAGCTGGAAGTTGTAACTTGTAACTTGTATCCTAACTACGACTTCTCCCAAGCTATCTATAAACCTTCAAGCAACGCTAAAACGGAAATCCAAAACCTGGGAGCCTTCCCGGCCGAAATATTTCTATGCTCAGCCTGGTAGCATTTGCAGCGCAAGATGGGGAGGCAAAGGCTGCCAGCCATACACCTCCAGCAAAGCTGCTGAAAATTCTGTCGGCAAGTTCTCAGATAAGGAAGGCCTCTCGCACTTCCCGCGCTAGCCCGAGAGAGAGAGAGAGAGAGATTCGATTTGAGTCGCCTTGTAGATTCGGGTGCGGCTCAGGGCTTGCATCTGCCAGCTCTGGGTTACGGGGGCCTTGTGTAATCCAAATAAACAACACAGTGAAATGAGAAGTAAATTGTGTCATTGGGATACTTGTATCGTTCCAAAAGGAGAGAAACGGATACATGCGGCACATGATCATGTGCATACAAAATCACGCAAATACGAACCTGCGGTGGATTCATCGTTGCGTGTTGTAAGTTAACAACGAAAACAGATGTGCTGTGTGTGTGTGTCTATAGCTAGATAAACAGATATGAAAATAAAGAAAGATACGAGTATACACATGAAGATACTCCGAAACGATCGCACTGGTGGTAGCGTACTCAAGGAGCATACGTTGCGTGCACGACAGTTGCTTGAACAACATCCTGCTGACGATATGAACACTTGCTTACACTTTGAATGAGTATGCTAGCCCTACGATCATCAAACCAATTTAGATTTGAAGAGCATGTAATGATATTTAATGTAAATGAACTACATTTAGAAGATAGCATAGTAACGAAGATGCAAAAACCGTTTCTTTTTCTATTGGTTGTCTCCTTGTTCTGTGTTTCTGTTGTTCTATAGCATCAAATGTGTCGGTATTGTGATTGCTGCTATTTCGGTTCTTCTGGCACGAATGGCAACTTTTACATATGATAGTATGATACTGCTAGGGCAAGACATGCCCCAAATGCTTGAACAATACTTGAACCACCAGCATGGGTTACGTGTAGTCTTCGGTCGCGATGTACGGATTTAAACGATGTACCGTTAGCTCTAAAGTGCCAGTACCAACGATTGTACTGGCGCAGCACTACTTAACATTTAAAGAGCGGAAGCATTCATATGTACAAAGCAACAAGCAGAACACAACACATCAGACACATCAGAGTACTCATAGACTGGTGAGTGGGTCTTATACTCAATGTACTTACCTATGTCTGCCGATATGCTTCATTCATTGCCATAACTTCGACAGCGTTCTTGACCGCAGTGAAGAAAGTCACCACAGCTATACGACACATTCGCCGCACATTGCTGTACAGGTTAGGCAGGGAAGGTGTTGTTTCCCGGGTTTACTGAGGAGCATCCTCTGCACTCACCCCACACGCTCTGTGGCGCCAAAACCGCTCCCACCCGGCGCTCTGAGGGTTCAGAGTTCACGGATTAGGGTGTAAGGCTGAGAGTTGAAGGCGTTGGGTTGAGGGAACCACCGCTGGCCTGTTGCCGTTCCAGCGTTCCGGTGGCCACAGCCATGCCCACCTGAGAAGAGTTGAGGGACTCTGCGTACGGCGCTTGGGGAATTTTGCTCTCTCCAGAGGTTACGAAACCTGGGGAAGAAAAATGTATCACCATACCTCGTAGTCGGCGAACTATTCCCCCCAAATGCAGTATTCAGGGGCGAAGCCTTATAAGCCCTGAAACCCTGAAGCCCTGAAGCCCTGAAACCCTGAAACCCTGAAACCCTTGAAACCCTTGAAACCCTTGAAACCCTTGAAACCCTTGAAACCCTTGAAACCCTTGAAACCCTTGAAACCCTTGAACCCCTTAAACCCTGGAACCCTGGAACCCTGAAACCCTGAAACCCTGAAACCCCGAAACCCCAAACCCCAAACCCTAAACCCTAAACCCTAAACCCTAAACCCTAAACCCTGGAGGGCTGATGGTGTCACTGCCCGGCCTGGGCCCATGGGCCCCATTGGATGGCCAGGACCAGCGGGGCATCCGAGGCCTGGACGAATCGGAGGACATCAGAGGGCTTATAGTAGGGCTGTTTAGGGTTTTAGGGTTTAGGGTTTAGGGTTTAGGGTTTAGGGTTTAGGGTTTAGGGTTTAGGAGAAGGGGGTTAGAGGGTTTAGAGGCGTAGGGTATAGAAAGGGCTTTGTGGACTTTAGGGTTTTAGAGGGTTCGGAGGTGAGCAGCCTGCGATTTCTTTCGAGGCTTGCGTTGAGACTGGAAACCCCGAGCACCAGCATCCTCACATCCTCAACCCTAAACCCTAAACCCTAAACCCTAAACCCTAAAACCCTAAACCCTAAACCCTAAATCCTCAACCCAGCTTCCAACATTACCCCATGCACCTGGTCGACCGAGAAAATCGGGTGGGATGGCTTCCATGCCTGAAGGCGCGACTGGCCCTGCAGTAACCCCAAATGCTCGAAGTCGCGCCTACTGAGTTCAAGGGTTTGGGACTAGGACTACCTGTGACTATCTTCTGCTTCTTCCGTTGCCTCCCAAGTCTGCTTGATCGGACCTGATCGTAGCTGCCGGGATTCGCCCTTCGGGGGGGGGGTGATTGGCCAATCTGGCTGAGAAAAGAAACGCTCGATCAAGACCGCCGGGTGCAAATGCCATTTATGAAGCTTGGGGTCACCTGGCGCTTGGATGCTGGTCAAGGAGTAGGGTGCAGCCAGAAGCTAAACTTTTCGGGCAGCTTGGTCAGCGTACCACTGGGCGATATAGGGAGTATACATGTCACTGGAATCCGCTCCAGCTCGGGCAACCCTTGTTCTGCTTGCTGCGAGGGATGAACTGTCTCTGCCAGCATCGCCGCGAGACAGCAGCTGCTTGTTGAAGCTACTCCCGCACGGCATCGCTAGAGCGTTGGCAACTGCAGTGCAGCAGTGTTCTATCGTAGGAAACTCTATCATATATGATCAACACTCTTCTACCTTATTGCAAGAGCCGAATAAGCTGAATAAAGGGTTTAGGGTTTGGGGTCTAAACAGCACTTGGACTCCCATGCCAGCACCTGCGTGCCAGAGGTTTTGCGCTTGCAGCTGGCCTTCGTGGTTGCATGATCGGTTGCATGCACACACAAAGCTAGCTCGCTGGGGACTTGTCCCAGACTTCGAATTGAAGAGCTTCTGTGCAAGGTTTCGAAGCGAATGCCCAGTACAGCAGGTATTCAGTCACTAGCTGCTCAAGAAGGGCTGTCGCTGGTGAAACCCTGACTTAACGGATAGCTGCATCCGGAAGCTGCAGTTACAATCTTAGAAACACTATCAACACCCAGCTCTCCCAAGTTGCGCTGCAGAGCAAGCACACCTATGTGACGTGCTTCTCGACAGCTCGGGGTCGGTTCGGGCGCCCCAGGCTTCCTGGGAGTCCTCATGGACCCCCCCCAAACAAGCAAAAAGCAGCGAGAAGCGGTCCGTATATACACGATGTACACACAAGGCAGCAATGCATCACCCTGGCCCTCTCTGCCAACACAACGCCAAGTCCCCATGATTGCTGCGTCGGCCTGAGGGTTGAGCAGTCGCCGCGCAGAGCTAAGCATGCAGTTTCACGCAAGGACTGCGCGAAGTTGCGCGGCAAGCACGAATTTGCAAAATGACGGTCGGTCGGATCCAAGCAAGTCTGAACTGAGGCAGGGCAGCGCCATCGAAAGCAAAAAGGCCATAGTTCGACCTTGATCTCGGCTTGCTACTATTATAGCAAGATTGCTCTCCCTGGCGTCCCAATTCTCGCTTGCAGGAAAATCAAGCTTTCAATTCTCACATCAAAGGGGTTCAAACGCGGCCGTCGCCAAGTGCTATGCATGTGTCGAGGGGCAACCCGCCTGCAGACCTCACGCCTCCAGCCATGAAACTTTTTAGCGCCTCCCTGTGTAATTTTGGGGTTTAGGGGCGGTTTAGGGGTTTAGTGTTTAGGGGGTTTAGGGGGTTTAGGGTTCAAGGGTTCTGGGATGGTTTGTGGGTGGTGGTCTAGTCGGCAATCTGCCGGGAGGCACAGGCCGCCTGTCTCAAAGCTGGGTCACAGTTTAGAATAACCATCGAGGAGCACTGCTTCTGCTTCATCAACTTCTGTATCGCTGCATCGAAACAACACACATCAAGACTCTAATCCAACAGTGACCCAGGAAGCAGGAAGGCACCTAAAATTGTTAAAAGCAAGAGCCGGTCAGCAAACCTAAGTCAGCCAAGCGCCTCAGCCCGTAGTATGAGGCGACAAAGACCCCGAGGCTAACTCAGGGGTCTGTTGCGTATGGCAAGTCTGCCTGTCCACCTTGGGACTTAATTTCTTTCCTGTACACTTTAGTCGCCGCATCAGGGGCTAAGACGCATTCGGGAGCCCCAGCGCCAGGAGCAGTAAAGGCAGACCCCGCACTCGGAGGCTTTTACAAAAGGGTTCTTGCACATCATGCAACCTCTGCAAACCTTTGCCATTGGACACTGAGGCTGTCCCGAATGCCCAAGAGCATGGCCCTGACTTGCTGCCGAAGGGAGAAGGGGACAAACAGAGGCCTTTAGATATCTTATCAAGTCGGACCTCAAACCCCGAGAAAGCCTCATCATTCCATCTGCAGATAAATGTTCCAATTTCTGCAACATTCCCAGAACCTCGCAAAGCAGCTCACACTAAAAAATCCCGCAACCCACTCAGGGTCCAGGGCTGAAAGTCGAAACCCGAAACCCGCACCTTCGGGCTTGGGCCAGGCCGAATCTTCGGGCTTGCGCCAGGCCGTCAACTTCTCATTCTACACAAGCCCTACACAGGGTTTAGGGTCTAGGGTCTAGGGTCTCGGGTCTAGGGTCTAGGGCATCCCCACACCCTGAACGCACCCGTCCCCTTCTCCCCGCGGGCGCGGGGCGGCGCGCCCGCGCATCAACCACCAGAAGATCGGAGCATGGCCTCTTGGCGAGGGCCAAAGGTACTAGGCCTTCAGGGGTGCTAGCTTTGGGCGTTTTGATTTTCTTGGGGTTTGGGACTTCATGTTCCTGTTTTGGGGGCTAGAGGCCCCGAATCCCCTGAACCGGAAACCCCTCAAGCCGAGCAACTTCCACCCTAAACCCGAAGATCCTGAATCTGAAGACTCAAGTTTCATTGGGGGGGGAGGGGGTGGGGGGGAGGGGGTGTGGGGGGAGGGGGTGGAGGGGGGGGGGGGGGGTAAATTAAACCCCAAAGTCTGTCAAAGCCTCAACCTGATTCCGAACCAGATGCCCCAACCCAACCAGAAACCCAACCCCTATACTCCCCGTAGAATCATATATCAGCAAGTCACAGCTATAACATTGGTATGGCTCCCTCTCTGAACATAATTAAACACTCATGTTTGTTGCTTGTGGGCTTTATACTTGCATAAGCGAAACTAAACCCTAATTCCCTTACTGGTCAGGTTAAATAGCTCCATACCTATATAATGAGATATCAGCAACAATAAATCTAAAACTCCAAACCCAAATTTCCAAACCCTAAACTCCACACCCTAAACTTCAAACCCTGAGCCCTAAACCCTAAACTCAAAACTCTAAACCCTAAACCCTAAACCCAAACCCCAATACAGGCAGACCGGGGTGCAGCTCCCAGGCCCAGTTGCCACCCGAGGGAGGCCGCTGACCTCGAGGGCATTGAGGACGCCGCAACGGCTTGAGGGTGTTGAGGGTTTAGGGAGAGACGTCTTCAGGGCTAGGGCTACAGGGTCTTTGGGTGGTTGGGGATGTCGAATTGAAGTAGAAAGTGTTTGAGGGATTTTGGGGCTTGAGGGGTTGAGGGTTTTAGTAGAGCTTAGGGGTTGAGGGGACCTAGGGCTTAGGTTGCGCTAGGGCGCTTTGGGCTTCAGGGTGTTTACATCAACTTGGTTCGAGATTTAGGGATTAAGGTTTGAGGTTAGGGTTCAGGGCTTGGAAGTAGGAAGTAGGGATGGATTGAGTGAGGACTTCGGACTTCGGACTTCGGGCTTCGGGCGTTATGGAGCTCTGTTCTCTCTTGACTTCCGCCCTTCTCTAAATCCCAAGCCCCAGGGCACAAACTTTACATCCACGCCCAATCCCGAAGTACCTGGATACCTGAAGCGTTGAAGCAGGCCAGCGGCATAAATACCACCCTCAAGGCGGTGGGGATGAGACTGAAGCTGATGCCCTGCGAGATGAGCCCAAAGAGTTTAGAACCTAGTTGAGCGGTTCTGGAAAAATAGGGCATAGGCATTCGGGTTTAGGGATCAAGGCTTTAGGGGCTGCAGGAGGCTTCTGAGGGATAGATGCGCAATCAGAAATCGAATCTGCCAGGTGCACCGTGAAGTAAGCAGCTGTCAAACACTGGCCTGCATGGGAAGCCAGTAGCAGTAGCAAAGCCTGCAGCAAGATATTCCGATCGCGCAAACCATCCCACACTCTCAGCAGTTCATGATGTCATACTAGCGTGAACCCTCAACATCCCTCAACATCCCTCAACATCCCTAAACCCTGAGAGATGTGGCTTTTTGTTGGTCGCCTGAGCGTTTCGAGCCTGGAGCCTCTCCAGCCAGCTCCTGGTTACCCTTCCGTTTCTGCTTGCGACCCCCTGACCCCATCCTACCTAGCACAATCCGCTCACGAACCACTGAGCCACCCACCCTAAACCTTAGACCCTCAAATCCTAAATTCCAACAAACCTGCCCCGAACAAAACAACAAAACCAAACCCAGGCAGGTCCCAAAGCAACCCCTCAAACCCGCAAAGCCCTGTCAAGCGTTTAGGATTTTTAGGGCCTTACGGTTTCGGGCTCCAAATAACCCTGCAAAGTTGGTTCGAGTAGTCTCCAGAAATCTCTAAGGTTCCCAGTATGGGCCCTTCATTTGGGTCCCTTGCTATATAGCCCTTATATACACCAAATAACCCTAAAACCCTTCCAGGGCTGGGCAAAAGTGTAAGGCCAGGAGCTGCAGGTCGGAGGTTACGTTCTGCCAGTACCGAGCCACGCCCGCCACTGCCGCCTTTTGTGAGGGTTTAGGGGGGCTTTAGGGTGTAGGGTTTAAGGGGTTCAGGGGTTTAGGGGGGCTTTAAGGTTTCGGGGTTTCGGGGGTTCAGGCACATGTTGGGCTCAGGGATGTTCAGGGCTTTGGGATTTAGAATCCGCTTACTACCCTGAACCCCAAAAGCCCCCATGGTGGGAGTTAAATGAGACTTTTGTGCCGTGAACGCGTACCCTCACATGATTGAACCCTGTAAACCCTGAACCCTCTCTTAAAATCCCCAACTAGAGGCCCCAACAAACCTCCCGTCGTGGTGGCCTCGGGGGCAGTGATGAAGAGCCCGGTCGGTCCAGCCATCTCCTGTTGGGGTCTGGCCAAACCCAGGCAGACCCCAAAACAACCCCTGAAACCCTTCAAGCCCTTTCAAGCTTCAGGGTTCAGGGCTTAGGGCCCAAAAAAAACCTGAAACCCTGGCCTGGCGAAATGGGCTTTCTCTGCAACGCAGGTCTGAGGGTGGGGTTTGGGGAGTCAGGATCGCTGGCCTGAAGATCTCGGAGTGTTTTGGGACTGCCCCAAAACCCCAACCCTAAACCCCAAACCCTGGATTTTAGGGTTTTAACGGCAAACGACCGTCTCCAGGCATTTGGGGGCTTAATGGCTAGGGGCTTAGGGTTTAAAGTTTAGCGGGTTAGGGGTTTCTTGGTGGCCTGAGTCTTTTCTAGGCCCTGCCTTGGCACTTACAGCCGCCTGTTCCTGCACATGCTGCAAGTGCGTGCAAGACTTTGGAGGGGAGGCGCGCTTATGGGATCAGAAGGTTTGCGGTTCAGAGGCCCGGATTCAGGAGGTTCAGGGAAGTGGCCATGCAACAAGGTTCCATCCTTCACAGTATAGAAGACGGGAAGATACGCGCAGGGCATGTAGATGCCTGGGCTTGGATTGCAGATCTGCTTTGAATCTGAATGCTCTCAAGCTCCAGCGCTTGCACTTTTCGAAGATAAGCCCTCGCCAGTCTATAGCTGCAGTCAGACCCCGGTGCCTACGCCCTATAGCGCAACGCCCTAAGCCCTATGCACTGGTTTGCTGGCGTCCGGAGCACCCTGATCTCCGAAGACCTGGAACACCACGGCTTTGGGGCCGGTAAGCCGGGAAGCCTGCACAGAAAGAGTCTAGGGGGGGGGGGGGGGGGGCGAAAAGGAATATGGGGGGGATTCTCAAGATTGGGGTGTGGAGCCTAAAGGAACCTCCCAGTTCTAGCTCTTTATGTTCGTTCGTTCGCGTTTCTGAACCGCCCTTTAAGGGGTTTCTAGGTTCAGGATGGTATGTACAGCATGCAAGCACCAAAAGCCCACTACCATGTCCAATACCTCAAATAGATATCAGCTGCACTCACCTTAAATCCCCAACTCCAAACCCTGCATCCGAACCGAACCGCCGCCCCAAACGTAGCCTGACCCGTACATAACCGTCCTGGAACGACTGCCAGCCTTGAGAAACATCGGCCAGAAGCCTGTGTAGAGGAAGTGCTGAAGGAAGCCAATATAGCTGAGCCCGAAAAAGCCTTCACCGCGAGCAGCTGTGAGGGCTTCATGGGGAAGCTTTAGCTTAGACGCAGTTAGGATGTTTTGAGAGGGAGGGAGGAATCAGGGGTGGCCACCATACGCCATCATCAAAACTGTCAGGCGCATCTTGAAGTCGTCTTGTTCATGCGTCTCCAAGCCCCCAATCAAAACACATCACACCTTGAGACCCTGTCAACACTCGACATGGAGGGTGGTGTCTGACTGCTGTGGTGGTTCATGACTTCATCTTTGGAACATCGCAGACAGAAAGCGGGCGGCTTAACCCCAAACACGCCTGCCCTGCCCAAGTAACAAGTACTTTCCTCCCCACCACAAACGGAGCGCAATGAAGTTCGTCTTGCATTCTGATTTTTAGCTCGCCCAACAACGAGTAGACTGATTCGACACCGCAAAGGGATGCTTAAGCGCAGCTCCCAGCCCTCCCGGTGGGAACCCATGATGGCGCTGCGTCGAAGATCCGTGGACTCACGCTTCTCGAAGTAGCGTTGCACGAGGAAGTCGCCTAAAGGGTGTCATCAGCTTCGCTGAAACGCTACCTCAAGCTCTCAAGAACAACCGGCTTTTCGGATAGGGAGGTTAGACGGTCGCAGTGCAGTGACTTCGCGACATGCCGAGACAATCAGTTTCAGAGAGCTTGATGGCAAGTTGCTAGCGACAGTTGAGACGAGCCCCGCCAGGCTCGAAGTCGTGATGGGGTTGCCTCGGGCAAATGAAACAGGGGGCCTGGAGGCGAGATAAACACCACGCACTGCAGGTCAACCCACGAGCAGAGTCTCACACAACCTTGCTTGTGGGCCATTCTGGCAGTCGGGAACGTGATGAGGATTTTCTGCAACAGACAGCACAGCCGGCAGTTCAGGTTCATAAAGGTCTCGGAAATCTCAGACTGTGTTCCAGGAAGATGGCAGCTGGGAGTCCAATCATGTCTTGGTCTCTGGGCCGGGGTTGTCAAGATTTAGGGACCCAAGAATGTCGATCTTGTTCGAAGCCTGCAAGGCAAACGGAACCCAATGCCATCCGAAACGTTGCAGCCGAAGCTGCGCAGCGTCCACTGCTTTACAGCCTTGGTGCGGGAAGCGACCTCCTGGCGTAGGCCCTGCAGAGGCAAGACAAGGAGGTTGGGCGGTTTAATGAAGTTTAATGGTCCGTCATGGTACGTTATGCAGATCCGAAGCCGAACATCCACGAACTGTCACCCCCGGCACTGGAGGGACCCTGGACAGCTGAGAACCTTGTCCTGCGCTTTGAACAACCTTTGTAAAGGGCCTCGGAAACGGCTTCATTTCTGCCACGGAATCTCGACACCCCTTTGACAGATCCGGAGTGTCGGTAAGCAGCCTCCTCCCCGGACCTTCTCTGCAAGAACCCTCCCTTTTTAGGCAGTAAGACGTGAAGAGACCTATTTGATTGTTGAATTCTAACAGCACTTGTCATACGATGATGGCTTCTGCAGGGAGGATCCTGAAGAGCATTTAACATCGCGAAGCTTTCGTCTTGGCTGCAAGGACTTTCTCTCTCTGTTCCATCTCCTTGAGAGAGAGAGAGAGAGAGAGAGAGAGAGAGAGAGAGAGGGAGAGAAAGAGAGCTGGCTGCGGCTGAGCCTTAAGCCGACCGCGCCAGCAGCGAGAAAGCAGTCGCGCCTAGCAGTGAACGGCTAAAGCTATGAGTGCAGCTCTCGTTTCTGTGCGACTGATGAGAACTTTGTAGCACACCGTCATTTAGAAATTGCTTTGCTGGTTGCTGCGTATTCCCAGGGTTAGCTCTACATTGTTATCCGTTGATCGCATGAACTCTTGATGGAAACTGGATGATTGGGCTTGGTCACGCGCAGGCTTGTGTAGGCCCTGATGGCCTGTTGTGGCCGTATGTCATCATATCCGAAAAGGCCGACTCGCTAGGCAGAAAGCCTAGATTCCCGAGCTTAACACTCCGACAGCAGCAGCCTGCTCCTGCTCCCACTCCTTGAGGAAGCTGTTGTAGACTACGTCGGTGTAGTGTTTCGGGGACTTCGGCGTGGTGGCCCAGGTGCACCTGCTGAAGGTCGAAGGCCGGCGGAGGCTTGAGCAATCCTTTTCATGGCTATGCTTCGACTGTATACTTGCGAAGCGGATTATGACCATCCCGGCGAAGATGGCAGCACGACGCAACACGCCAAAATGAAAACAAACGGAAAACATAAGATTAGAAGAAGCCAGCGCAGGAATCCCGCTTTGGCACTGATGCTCGCTTCACCCTCTTCAGCATGATTTCAACACCCCCCTCCCCGCCCACCAGCCCCCCCCCCACCAACAAACGCGGTGGCCACAGACACTGCCAAGTGCGACGTGGGGCTTGGAGGGGCTGGCCCGGCAATGGACTGCTCAAAACAAGCCTCCGCCCCTTGCCAAGACAACTGGGCCAGGGCGGACCAGCAAGAAGCCTAGATTTGCACAAAAAAGGAGCCTCTAATTATGGCATTTACGGAAGCCTCTAACAGCGGAGACACCCCCTACTACGCGGTCATCCACGTGAAATTGGCAAGGAATCGAAAAGTATGTGAAGGAAGGGTGGCCTACGCAGCCATGCAAATATTGCCTGAAACTCTTTTTGATGTTCCTTCCCCTGCTCCCAGTGACCTCCTGAACATCTCGAGGCCAAGATCCTCGCAGAGAGTTTTTGCATAACCGTCTGCTCGCTTCGGTTCTCTAGCCTTTGGTCAGTGTAGGACTTAAACATATTCAAACCGTAAAGTTGGGGCAGTCCTGGATGTCCTGGATCGTGGCCCTTTGGTTGGTCCGTGCCCATCTGGCCGCGTGGACGGCGTACACTGCGGCCGACATGGCGAGGGGGCCAAGGGAGGCAGGGAAGGACTTGATCGTACAAGAACAAAACAGAACAGGCATGGGCTTGCAGAGTCCTGCTTGACCGCATCATTCAGTCCACTACGGCGTAGATGGACCATGGCACAAATCAAACGTTCGGGCAGGCCCTAAGGGTTACGCAGTTCAGAGGACCAGTGTGTGGCCTCCTTGCTACGGCTCGAGCCTGCCACAGGACCCTGCTTCAATCACCGCATGTTGGATGTTGTGGCTACGAGAAACATCAGAAAATGATATGCCATGATACGACTGTCACAAGGAGACTTCCAACATCCTCCGACCTCGGTAAGCCGTTCCAGGGCGCCATTGGCAGCTGCATAGGCGCCTTTTTCTATACTATACATTGCATGTCATCTGTTCTGTATTGGCTCTTTATTAGATGATATCCTTTACATACATATATATAGTTATACATACATACATACATACATACATACATACATACATACATACATACATACATACATACATACATACATACATACATACATACATACATATATATATATCGTTATATATCCGCAAAGGCCTGGGGCCATGGGGGCCCCCCCCCCTCCGCCCACGCCCCCTTGTTCCTCCATGCTATGACAACGCGCACCTCGCTAGGCCCTCCTTTACCCCCCCACCCCCGGCCCGGCCGAGGCGAGGAGGATCGTGTCGTGTTAAACATTGTTGGTTTCTGTCGGGTTTCCGGTGACTCGGGTTTGGGCATGGCCGTAGGTACCCTTGCTGGGTTTCGTCCTTTTGCAAGTCCTCCACCCTCGTCCCAGCATTGAAATCCTGAAGCCCTTACGTCCTCAACCCTCAAGCCCTGTAGTCCCTTCAGGCCCAAATTGGTCTCTCCCGGCCTTGGCCCGGGCTGCCCAACAAGGCCACAACCGAGGATGCCGTGATGAAGACGTCACTGCATGAAAAACGCGTGTGAGGAAGGGGAAAGAGGGGGCGAAAAACTCTCTCGCTTGGATTTCGGGCAGTGACGGGATGCAAGGGCCGACAAGTTGTGACCAGGTGATGCGCCCTTCTCTATCACAGAGTTACGGCTCTCGCCTCTGCCGGAGGGCAGGGCCGCACTCGTCCCAGAGGTTCTGGGCTCCAAACACCTGGACGAAATCTACAGTAAGGTACCAAGGTGCTTGGGCGAAAAGAGCCCCTGCTGCTCATTTCAGGGCTTGGCAGGAACTCTGGCTAAGTACTTGTGACTCCGACCACTGGCTTCCGAAGGAAGCGGCGGACCAGATGTACTGGCGTACAAACAAACCGATTGCATCATGGCAGACTGTTGGTCCAACTAGCAACCTCGTGTAGCCTAGTCGTAGTCTTGCTATTCGTGATCTACTGCTCTTCGGTCTAAACCCCAAAAACTGCAGCACCTCGCAACTCCCTCAAGCACCTTCCCCGCGAACGTAGTTTGGAAATGATCAGGTCCGAGGCTGCAGAACCTGGTCTCAGGGCTTCGAAGGCTCCATGTAACCAACCCTGAACACAAGATAGGCTACAGTCGTTCCGTTCCAGAAAGGTCGTAGCGCTGTCAGCTATGCAGCTACTGCAGCAATCCTGCACTCTGACCCCCCAGAGGCAATTGCAAGATCAAATCCTGAACTCTGTGGGTCTTGTGCCAGATGGATGCCAGGACACACGGCGTCAGCCAAAGCTCCAGCAAAGTGGAAGACTCCTCTTGCAATCTTAGGGCTATGGCTCACGAAGACTCATACAGGGGTTGCTGATACAGGACAGCTGGGTTTGCGTTTCGGCTGCTGCGAAAAATGTTTTCTCTACCAGGCAGATTCGGTGACACAATGGCACTCGCACTTTTTCTTTCCCTCTGAGCAAGATGAATCAGCAGCAAGCAAGGCCATGTGAAGAAAGACCTGGGCAAGGGGCAGTCAAGTGGGATTGGCCTGAGTGAGGTCCGCCATCAACCAATGCTTGAAACCGGCACCCCCCATGCAACAGTGCCAACTACCAACTACTGACACTGAGGGCTCAGGCCCTTGCCACTGCGTACTGACCCTGTTGCATTGAGTGACCCTGTTGCGGCACCTGCATGACTAATAACCAGAACAGGGCATGACTCAACCAATCGTCATCTCCCAAACCAAAGTGGACGGGGACGATGGCTTTGCTGCTAAGTACCCAAGACAAGAAGAAATGAATGAAGGCCTTCGACAAGTGAGGCGCTGCCTGATGCAGTGTGGCAGCCACAGGCCACAGGTTTAAAAAGTTGCGGCGCCTGTTTCAAGCCTTGAACCATGATTCTGATAGGGTAGTCGCCAATGAACTTGCCGTCAGGCCGAGGCCTCGCGAAACCAAGAACGCTCCCAAAGCCAGCCCAAGAGCAGGTGCAGGGACTGTCTCAAGGCTCATAAACCCCAACTTCAACCTCTAAATCAAACCCATCCCACACCCAAACAAAACCCCAAGTCCACGGTGCTCTTTCAGCACTTCACTGCGCCCTTCATGGTGCTTGAGCCACGTGCATCGGCATGGGTACACTTCTCGATTTGCGTCGTTATCCTGCGCGCAGGGGCCACGCTAATCTGTCCATGAGCAACACTCCTCCTTACGAGTAGTCCCTGATGCAGCCCCATGTTCCAGTCTACGCCTCCGGCCGGTCTCACGCCTGCCATCTCTCGCAGCTGCTTCTTGGGAAGGATTTTTGTCAACATGTCGGCGACAAGAAACTGTCCCGGAGTATGACGCATCGGAATCCCTTCAAGCTTCAATTGATCGCGACACCAACTGCAGCGCAAAGCGAAAGCTCTGGTTCGCCACTTTCCAAAATCCATCTTCTCTTGCCCTGCCAGAATGATCGATTCACTGTTGTCCCCAGTTAAACATCCCTGAAGACCTTTGTGCAGCAAATCTTTCAAAACATAGAGAATACTCCCTGTGAAAGTGCTTCGGCCAAACCATCAGTCTCAGCCTCACACACTGACCAGGCTGTCACTGTTTGTCGTGTTGAATACCAGCGAATCATGCTCCCAGCGTACTGTATGCATCCGCCAGAACGACTTCGCGATGCCTCTGGCGCATACGAAGCGTCTTCTTGTTCTGCTTTTGCACCCTTGGCGACATCCTTCCTGAACTTCTCGTCATGACTATACATGCAATTCTTTCGGCAACAACCAGCTGGAGTGAAGAAAAACCGACACGGCTTGTCCTTCTTCTCAGGGGCCTTGGAAGAATCAATTTGCTGCTGGTCCTTTCCTTTTCCAGGATGTCCTTTTCCTTTGTTTCCTTTGGTCTTGTTTCCCTTTGGCCTCCTTTCCTTTTTCCTTGCCTTTTCCTTTTCCTTTCTCCTTGCCTTTTCCTGTCGATGCCACACTGTCGCCTGCTCCGCCACCACGCTTGTTGTACTTATGGTTTCATCAGCAGCGAGGATCTGCAACGGTTGTTCTATCAAACCAATCATCGCTTCTACTCCTTGCGGATTCGGATAAGAACGTCAGGTTGTACTAGTAGCAAACCCATGAGTGTCTTAAACGATTCCGATCGTCGCTCCACATTGCGAATCAAGGAGCTCAAGGCCTGCGCCTCCTCAAACGAGGCTACGGCGGGCAGCTGCAAGTCGCGTGCTCTTGCGCGAGCCAACTTCCATCTCCTCAGGGTTTCAGGCCCCCTCCTTCGCGGAATGAGCCGGATCTAGGCGTCTCACGAAGGCCTGGATACTCTTCATCTCTTGCTGTCCTCCAGGCATCTGTTCCTGACAAATACACTCCAAAAAAGGCGCACTCCCCGAAGCTTCGATGATCCCGTCTTCTCCAACACTGGCTGCTTAACTTCCTGCGGCAGACAACGTATCAGAGTAAGCGTCAAACGGTTCTCGTACTCTTGGTGCTCTGCCAATGCTGGAGTCAAATCAGGCAAGTTGTAATGTCCAGCCAGTCGCTTCTGATGTCTTTCTTCCGCTACCGCATACTCGGCCTGCACGTACGCCCCGAAACCAGGACTTACCGTAGTTGAAATTGTCTGGAACTGCCACCACCATGCCTGAAGTCGCACGTTGCACTCCCACGCTCCTACCGAAAAGGAAGGAATATTCAGCAAAACTGTCCATCTTCCGCGCAGCGCCGCCTCCGCCGTAGATCCTCCCATCTCAGTTGGTCTTTGCGCTGCCTGTTTGGAGTACTGCGGGGGAAGTCCTGGAGGTTCAGTCCACTGCCACGTCCAGGCATCATCCTGACCATGACCAGTCCACTCACCTGTATCCTCAGCTTCTCCTCCTGTGCCCCAAGCATCCTCAGCTGCTGCCAAATCTGTCGGGATCAGGAGACATCTCATGCACTGATGGTCCGTCTCGTTGGCTGACATCTTGAAGCTCTTCCCGAAGTTGCTCCAGGCATTGCTCCGTTCGCTCTGCGCGTTGTTCACCTGCCTACGTAGCTTTCTCAGACTGATCAGCCACTGCCTCCACGCGTTGAGTCAGCGTTGCCAGTTCTGCATCCACACGAGCACTGACCTGGTCCGTAGTCAGCAGGACTTGTTCCATCTGATCTCTGAGCATACGTACCAAGGTCTCGTTTGCGTTGCCACCTTCCGCTTCCTGAGCCGCCTTTGCAAGCATCCGTTCAAGATCTGCAGAAGTGGATTGTGTCCGGCGTGCTTGGCCTTCGAGAGTATCCACCCTTCCTTCCAAGTGCTTCGCCTGTTCTCAGCCCCTGTTTGTATGATTGTGGAATTCTCAAGTGCATGTACCCGGGAATCAAGAGTTCCATATACACTGTGTTGCTCCTCCAACCTTTGTCTCATCATCCGCACTTGGTCAGCAGATTGCTCTCGGCGTTGCTCCATAACAATCTGCTGCTCTTGCAATGCCCCTGCCTGTGCGCTACTGGAAACATCTTGCAACGTTGCTGTTGCTACAGGTGATTGCTGTTGGTGCTGCAGCTGTTGTGGGGGTGATGAGGTTGGTCGTTTGGGCTCATAACCTGTCGGTTATGAGGGTTATGAGGGCCAGTTGATGGGGTGTTAGGGACTAGGGAGTAGTGAGATGGGTTAGGTGAGGATGGAGCCCCGAGCCTCAGACGAATTGAGTACGGTAGATCATCTAGACTGTTGTACTGAATTCTACAGGGGTTGGGGACTCAAGGCTCATAAACCCCAACTTCAACCTCTAAATCAAACCCATCCCACACCCAAACAAAACCCCAAGTCCACGGTGCTCTTTCAGCACTTCACTGCGCCCTTCATGGTGCTTGAGCCACGCGCATCGGCCGGGTACGCTTCTCGGTTTCTGTCGTTCTCCTGCACGCAGGGGCCACGCTAATCTGTCCATGAGCAATAGTTTGCTTCCTCTTCTGTCCACACACGCTTGACCTTGCGCCCATAGTAGAGGGGAGGGCTTCCTGGGGGGCTGTCATCGTAGTGTCTGTCAAAGAGGACGCGGCCCTCAATGAAGAGCTTGGTCACACGATCCTGGCACACAGTCAACCTCTCCAGCAGCAATCCGCAATCAGGGTCCACGCAGTCGTCCTTGCGGATGTAGCGAAGGGCTTCCGCAGACCAGTCGGCCTCGATGGCACAGGCCGCGCCCATGGAATCCAGCCATGACCCTGCTTGGAGCGCGGTTTCCAACATCGAGTCGCGGGTCGGTGACCCTCATTGCCAACACTGCCGCTATGGCAGCTTGCAGGTTGACATAGTGCCTGGACGAGCTGGCTGACGACTCGTACCTGGCATCCGCATGACCCACCTGCTTTCAGACCGTCGAAAGGCCGGTCCATTGCTTCATGCTTTGCACCAGCTGCAGCTCGTAGCGCCATTTTTTGGACGCCTGCGCGGCCGGAAAGAAGCTTCTGCTGCCATGATGACCCTCCATCGCTGGCCCATGCCTCCACTCAGGAAGCCCATTGAAACTGAAAAAATGACAATCAAAATTTCCAATTTGGGCAAAGTGCAGCTATCTCGCTTCAATGGGTCACTCGCGGCGATGCGCTGAACATGACAGGAGTCGCGGGCAATGAGCGCCACATTGGGCAGCGCAAAGCGAAGTAGCTTGAGGGCTTTCTGGACAGCACCGTCTGCAATGACGGCGTGGACCCTGCCACTTCGCAAGTCCTCTCTCCCAAACTTGCCAAGCACTGAAGACCCATGACCCTGTTGCTCCTGGCCTCCATAAGCGTGGACGTCGTCGAGGATGCCGCACATGACAGGGCTGAGAGGGTTGACCCTGAGGGCTTGGGTTTACCTTATTTTTTCAGGGGTGTTGTCAGGGACGGTTATGATCCTGACCGTGAACACTGAGCCTGGATATGGCCAAGAGAAAGTGTGAGATCAGGTTCGGTGAGAGCTTCGCCGAACCTGGTCGCCCATTTTCTCTTGGCCATCCCCTTGAACCCAGAAGCTATGACTGACAGAACACGTGCAAGCAAATCCGTTCCTTGAAGCAACACCAAACGCAATAAAAGAAAAAGTCCGAAACGCAAACCCAGGCAGAATACTTTGTATATACTGTTGTCATACACTGGTCGATACGCCGAGGTGTCGACAAGACAGGAGGCCTACTGTAGCGACTGCTGCTGCTGGAAGCTCTCCAAGATCTTCTCTACGCACTGATGTTCAAGGGACTAGGTTTGGGGCTTGCGTTGATCTAGGGAAGCTACTGGTCCCGTAGCATGGTCCCTTACCCTCTAAAGGGTTCTGAAGTGTGGACCCTTGGATTTGAGAGCGGGTTCCCCGGTTAAGGGCCCACATTAAGGGACCATGTAGCGACCGTTAGAGTTAACATTGCAGGTTGGGGGAATTTAGGGCGTAGCAGTGGCTGAGTCCTAAGTTCACCGTTGAGGTTTCAAGGGCCGTCTCTTAGAACGCAACTGGCGAGACGATCTACCATGGCCCTCTCTAATGGTCTCCGGGAATTCAGTTGGCTACAGCACCACTCCAGCAAGGCAACCGAGGGCTCAATGCTGGCAGGGGAGGGGTGAAAGACTAGATCATGACCATTCTTTGAGGGGTATAGAGGAAGATCATGTTACAATGTCGTGGCCCGCTTTTCAAGAGCACACATACTTCGTTGATTCCTATTGGACTAGATGATTTACGTGTTAATTTTGGGAACAACGATGACCATAATGAGATAGCATACGCCCACGATATGCGTGTGCCATATGAGGAGTGAAGCAACGGTACTCACCAACAAAGGGGCAGACCTGACGTACATCAGCAGACGCCGATTCACGAGAACAAGGGGTGCTTGGGTACATCCTTCAAGAAGCCTGAGTGGCGGCTTTTGGGCGCCGAATATAGGGCCATGGTCTTCCAAGCCCCTTTCCCTGAGCAACACTTGATGTCCCTACCCTGCATCCGGGCCGAGCCCACCACTTTTCTTCATCTGTTCCACAGAAGATCCGCAGTCAGCGCTTGGCATTCTGCGCGGCACTGTGGTTACATTGCACCCGGCATGTCCCATGCTAATTGGCACGGTCGCGCTTGGTTTCCAAGCGCTGCGATGGGTGCTCCGCAGCTTCATGTTTCCTGTCGGCCGGCTGGTCAAATGCGAGGCTGCCAAGCTTTGCTCGGTCCTCTGCATCTGATGATACCTCCATGACACCTTCATGATGCTTTCAGACCCTCAAGCGAAACCGCCTCGAACGCCCACCGAAGAAAATCCTAGCAGAAACACGACCACTGCGACTCTGCGGTCACTCAGGACCACACATGTCTAGGATCCTGCTCCCTTTGGGGAGGCAGGGGCCCCCACAAGACATGTCACATAGGGAGTGCATGCTGTATTTGGGGGACCCGAGATGCACGAAGATTGGAATCCGAACCCCAGGAAGTTCGTGAAAATAACGTCCCATTCGGGGGTCTGTTGCTTTGCAGACGTTTTCATGCTGAGGGTCCACACTGTGGGACCAGAATTCAAAATGAAAGCCGCATGCTCACAGACCCGCAACACCATCCTCAGGGAGTCTTTGTCAGGACTTTTTGGTTTCATGCTTTTGTGTTTAGTGTTCCATTATCGAATAACATCTACTATTCCTGATACATTTTTTATTCTCCAATATCATTTAATATTCCTGATACTTTTCTTAATGGTTTCTGTAGCGTCTCATTGCAGCTTGTAGCACTGTATAATCTCCAGTCCGGCGTGTAGCCGACTTGTATGTTTCCGGACCCTCGAACTTGAAAGGCTTTTATGAAACCCTGACGGCTTCATACCCGAAAACCGCGGCTGGGAGGGGTGGGGGCGTATGGATCCAGATCCCAGGCACGCTGAATCCGGCATCCCGGCAGGATTTTGGAACCTTTTCAACCCCCAACCCTCAACCCTCCAAACCCCAGATGCTAAACCCTAAACTGTGGCCTCGGCTGGGCAGATGTTCTCAGGGACGATTTTGCCCACAAAGCATCACGAAACGGGACATTTTTTGATTCACAAGAATGGCATCCTGGGGTTTATTTAAGAATGCTGCCTTTGGGCATGATCTTCAGCTTTAGGGTCTTTGGGTTTCGGGTTTAGGGTTCGCGGCTCGTCACTTCACTACTGTCAATTCGGCAGCGCGCACATCTCCTACACATTCCAAAGCCCCCGCCTGGCGAACCATCACAGCTTCAGCTTCCGCTTGGAGAAGGTGTCATCGAAGCATAGCCTTCATGCCATAGGATCATGAAGCATGAAGCACGATAGCTTCGGATGTTCCCCCTTATACTGACAGTCCTTCATCGGGATGATAGTACCCCCCACTATAATCCCTATTAAGGACTGTTCGTAGAAGGGGGAACCGCTCAAACGATAACAACTAACTTCAACAATGACTCCCAGATCCGATCAGCGCCGCCTCTGCTCGGCCAACGCTACAGGATGATGGGCTACGGAAGTTGTCCAGTGCGGCGACATGCACGCTGCTTCTCCTTATCCACAGCACAAATGCATACAGGGCTCACACACACATATGTGGCTCAACGCAATGGCACTGCTGCGAAGTAGCCGGAGAAATTGCCGACCAGGTTGTCCACAATGGGTCTCCTACCGTGGCGTCGCTGATTTCAACGAACAAAAGAAGCACTCGAGAAGAGTCTCCCTCGCCTCAAGTTGGCCCCTAGCTCCAGCGGGTTCAGGAGCCCTTGATTCATTGCACTAACCGACCCCGGCCCCAACGAAACCCAGTGACTCTGTGTTCATTGAAGCACGGCCTCCTAAACATCCACATGGCCATCCTAGCAAAGCTGGTTCTTAGTAGGGAATGAAGGAATTAGATACCCTATAAAACCCCTTGAGGGTATATATGAGATAGGGGGAAGGTAACCTCATTTCCTAGCAAGAACCTGCAGTAAAAAGCCACCACCTGTTTCCACTACGGGGCTTGACCGGGCGACCTCGCAAACTGAACTTTTTATTGTTGAGAGCTCAGGTCTATAGGGGTTGGGGGTACTGCTGGTCAGGGCTGCCGCGAGCCTGGCATGCACCGTTTTCATCAGACACCTTGGCTCATCACTCAACCCTCAGGTCTGCACACCAAGACCGAAACGCCACGCAGGAGGTCTCAGAGCCTAATTTCAAGCTAGCCCGTGGTTACCAGGCAACCTGGTATGGGGTCAAAATCCGTTGGCTGCATCTGGGATGAGCACATGGAGAATGCCGACACTAGGGCTCAGCAACTTGAGATATGAATTATATGTATTGATTTATATAGTGTCACACTCTGGCGGACAGCGCCTGCGAAAAAGCACGGGACGGCATGATTGGGAATGACCGGGAATGACCGGGTGTGACCGGGTATGACCGCGCATGGCCGCGCATGACCGTGCACAACCGGGTATGACCGGGTAGTGAACGTATGACCGGGGGGGTAGTCGGGCGTTCTCGGGCGTACTTGGGCTGCAGTCGCCGAAAGCGGCCGCATTGTAATATCATGTGATATATAGATATCATGACAACTCTGTCATCCAAATCCATGGCGGCTACTTTCGTACCGAGCCACTTGTCCATCCACATGGCCTGTGGCCACTGGTTGTTTCCCCAGTCTCGGCAGGCAAACGGCAAACAAGATGTGTTGTGCAGTTAGGGGCTTCGTTCAAACGGCAGCCGAAACAAAATGGGAAGGCTTCGTGACGGTTCAGAGCTCCCTCATTGCGCCTGTGAACTCTTGTAGAAACAAGCCAGAAAATCAGGCCCGCGGCAAAAAATGTTGTGAACGGCAGTTGTTCTGTTTTGCCCCACCTTTTCCTGTGCAGCAAAGTGCACTTCGATGATGTTGGAAGGAACTTTCGTGCGAGTCATAACCGCAAAACCCTCGAAACAGAACCAGAAGTTTGAGACTTCCGAAATATGCGCAAGACTTTTGGGTCATTGTATCATGGTAGGGCCTGATCATGCCTGCAGAAGTTGGCATGGTCCAGTTTCGAATCTAAGCTCCAGTGATCATTCGTCGTGAGTACATGTTGAAGTAACAACATTCACTGTCGATGCACCCTGTGACACCAAGAATTCTTCAAGGTTGAAGGAACACTCGGACTCGAAAAAAGTTTCTCATACTCATTTCTGGGAAGATCTTCGGGGTGCTCCGCATCTGATCCCAGTGCCTGGAAGCCCCATCTCCGCACAGATCCTTCGAAAAAGTAATGACGACTGAGGACTGGAGCTCCACCCCGCAGAAACAAGATTAAGCTCGACCACGCAACTTTCTGATCAAACAAACAAACAGTACAGAAAGCCGAGAGTTCCCGGGCTTGCGGAGATTCGTCCTTCACAGGCTGAGCTCAGATGAAACAAACCACTTCCCCCCCTAGCACTGCAAGTTGCTGCAAAGCGGCATCTCATCTGCCAGAAGCACTCGCGGGACATTAGACCGAAGTTCTTGAGCGCCTTCTGTGACAGGACCTGCAACAGGTGCAATCTGTCATGCCATGTTTTTAAGCAAAAAAACCTGAAAGTGCTGCACGAATGCTGGCACTTTTTGTATACGTCACTCACGTTGCTGCTTCTGGGCCCCTGATAGAGGCCCTGGTCATACTTCAGTCGGGAGACGTGCTTACCTGCAGCTCACCGTATCTGCATCACGTGCGGCCTCCTGGAAGATTTACGCGTTGAACTTCGTATTGCTCGTCTCCTCTTCGCGACGCTGTTCAGGCGCCCATCTCGGGGACCTCTGTGAAGAGCTGCTTGATGGTGGACGTCACCGCGGACATATAGATCTCGATGAGGA